TAGGACAGCAGCGTGTTTATTTTTCCAGGGGCCAGTGCTCACGACAGTTGCCTTTATTGTTCATTGTTGGTGGATGGATAGAGTGCAGGGGGAAGCGAGGGAGGAGGAGGGGGATTGGTGTCAATGGGCAGTGAAGTGGGTGGGTGAGAAGGCGGCAGCAGCTACCAACAGGAAGGACAAATGGATGGCTCTCACCTTCCTGAGTGGTCAAAGGGCAGGTCAGCAGCCATGGTCCCTTCAGTCCCCTCCCCTGACTCACCCTTTCATCCCCTGTTGTGTCTCTTTTTGTTTCCCTCCATGTTTCCCCCTCTTTTTCTCCTTCTCTCTTCCTCATCTGGTTTAACTGGCGCAGGAATGTGGCCCTGTTAAAGGTAGCAGCTGAAGAACAATGGAGGATTGTGCTATTCCACACATGCACTTACACCCACACACACTACAAAGGCATGTAGGCAAACATTGGTACATATGACCAGACATGAGCACGCACACTCATACTGATTGTGCCTCAGTGTGTTTCTCTCTAACTACATCCTGTTGAATGATTTAGTCCTTGTGTGGTAGTGTGTTTGTGGATGTGTGTGTGTGTGTGTGTGTGTAATGGAGCTGGTATGTCAGGATCTGAGGAGTCAGAGGTCAGGCCATGCTAAATGTGAGCAGGAGGTTGGCTGGCTGCAGGGTAAACACAGAGCAGACACACTCCCCTTCTCTCTTTCACTCTTTTTCCTTCTCTTTCACACATACACACATACACACACTTTCACACAGCTTCATAGTAGAACAATCCCTGAATTTTCCCATAATACAGCACCAAGAAAATAAATTTTGATTTGACTTCAAGTTTTACCAAGAAATGTAAATTTTCACACCTGACTAAAGATTTATTCTGTATGTTAAACATATGAATCTGGCTAAGAGTTTACTTTTTTTGCTACCACATTTTCCTGTTTACAAATGTTTCCTCTGCCAAATTTTTCTCAATTTCAATGAGGCAATAAAGCCAGTGATGGATGTGGCCTTCTGTGTGCAGCTAAATGAGTCAACATCTGGTTTTACAACTTTGCAACACATAAACACACCCTCTGCTGACATTCCCCCTCCTGCCATCCCCAACCCCTAACCAATCATATATTACACTGACCAACAAGCCATGGATAGATTTACACTGCTTTGTTGCTCCTTTCTCATTTCCCTCACGCTTCTAACCTCTAACCTCACCCCCACAATCCTTTCTGGTTTCCAGATAGCCATGAAAATTTACAAAGAAGATGCCATGACATTGCAACGTTTTCTTTTTTTCTTTTTCTTTTACTTTTCACCATACATCTTTTCTAACAAAATCCTGGTTATAGTTTGTAGTCCAATACATTAGTCTCTTTATTTTACTGAAAGGGATTATTTTTTCAAAGAGACTAATTTTGATTCTCTTATAGGTTAATCATATTCATTTTAAGTGTTAATTCTGTTATATTTGGTAGAAAAAAAGGAGGCTACGAACTGACTAAAGGTGAACCACAAACTCCAATCAGCATTTGTTGCATTTGGTTTATTGTCTTTTTGTTTGTGAGAAATCTGAACAGCTTTTAACTGTATTACAAAGTCTTTAACAACTAAAACACTTACAATAGCCTTCTAGTCATACTAGACATATTTTCCTGAATAAGTTAACCTCAGCTGAGTCTTGCAGTCATCTTCAAAGAGCTACCATCTCACCTTTGACCCTTCTTCTGCTCCTCTTTTGCCTTATAGGTACTCCAGACAGCCTGGCGGAGAAGGAACGCCAGCTCATGGGCATGATTGGCCAGCTAAGTAGCCTGAGGGAGCGGCTAAAGGAGGAGCAGAAGAAGCTGGCCGCCTCGCAGATGGAGAAGCAGAGGCAGCAGATGGAGCTAGCCAAGCAGCAGCAGGATCAGGTACAGGAGCACGCTGCATGTGAAGGGCTTTTTGGATATGCTGAAAAACAGTCCGCCCTAACAAGTAATTTAATCTGGCTTCAGATCACATAAGGACCACATTATTGCTTCATTCAGATCAGCACTTTTCAAGAACTTCCTCAAATTTCTAAAAATACATATGTTCTCATGCAGGCGTTTCACCACTTGATAATGCCTGTCCATTTACTGCACCTGGCCAGTAAACAGCATACAGAGACACATGATTAGATACTGATTTAGAGTCAAATGTTATATGCACACATTGGCTTACCACACAAATGCACATACTGTACTCACCTAAACATCACAAATGGTCATTAGAAATCCACACACAGACTTCTGAGGTTTACAACAGAAAGTGTGCTCAAAGGTATGACTGAAAGCATCAAATCACATAGGATTTTTCTTGCCTTTACACACACATCCCATATAGTGTTCATGCAGCCAGAGACAAGTGCCATTGGCAGCTTTAACACAGGGACATTGCACAGGAACGAGCTGAGGGTATATAGTGTTGGAGTGAATGTTGCTGAGACATACGCAGACACACATACACACACTCCAAGCTCCCGGGCAAGAGTCTGCCAGGTATTTGCATAGAGAGGGGTTTCCCTCTTTGTTGTGCTTTTTTGCTTCTGGAAAGCTTGGGTTTACAAAGAGACTAACGTACACACAGAAACACAGCTGTAAGGAGAAATCTCCTGTGACAAATACAGTGCCCTGGGCTGTATCCCGCACTAATGCAAACTGAATGGGTCTTGCTCTGTAGTAGTGTATGTGGATACTGTTGTGTTTCTATGAGCCACTCAAGAGTTTCTGTTCACATGTTAATTACATTTTAAGAATCTAGGTGATGCTTTCATGCCAAACAAGTAAGAAAGAATGTAGAATGTGAACTTATAAAAATAGTAAAATGGCATTACAAACAGCAAAATTATATGGTGCAACAGAATGTACAAAAGTGAGAAAACGCCTTGACTGATTCTGACTAATAAAATAGAAGCACATGAAGTGCAACAAAACCAATACATAACATATATTGTTATAGAATAATACATCTTTGAGAGTGTTTGATTCATTTGGAGCTAAAAAAATGCCTCTAGTTTTGCTTGACTATCATGAATTTTTGTGTTGAGGACCTTAATATTTCACACCAGAGCAATGACCTTCTGTCATGCAACCTTGGCCTGAAAGACTTGCAGATGTGTCATGTCTTCCTCAGGCCCTGCACACACACACCACAAACACACGCACAGTCTCTCACGCACACACACACATACTGTATATGCATTCTAATAATATACTCTGTTTTCAGATTGCCCGGCAACAGCAGCAGCTTCTGCAGCAGCAACACAAAATCAACCTCCTGCAGCAACAAATCCAGGTGAGGCCAGTGTGTGTGTGTGTGTGTGTTCATCCACATGCTAGTGATGTGCCAGTGCATGTATCTTTGTGTGTGTGTTTGTGTGAATGTGTCTCTTATGTGTGTCTGCATGGCCCACAAAGGCAATTTTGTGACTGTGATTGTAATTCAGCCATCAGCATTTGGGGCCTGATTCAGCATTGACTTATAACATCCCCCCCTTCTGCTAATACACACAGCGCTGTGTTTTCATTTCTTGTGGGGACTTTACTTTGCCTTACATTCGTTTCCTGTAGACTTATCCTAACCTTAACCATAACCACTACTTGCCTAACACCTAACCCTAACCCTGACCCTAATACCTAACCTTAACCTTAAACCATGTTGCTACCCTAAAGTTCAGTGATTTATTTGTGGGGACCAGAGGCTGGTCGAGTCCCAACAGTGTGAGCGTGTTAACAGGTTTCGGTCCCTATAATGTAAGTAATACAAAGGCACACACAACCTGTGTAATCACTTAAAAATGGTCAGTCTGCTTGGAAATATCAGATGTAGGGTGCTGGAGTAATGTATGTGTGTTTTAAGTTTGTGTTCAGTAAACTGAAGTTTACAAATCCGACAATCAGTGACTTTTCTGATGTTTATTCCATTGTGTCTTTTAGTGATTGTGAAGGTGTTTTGACAGACACAGCAGGGGTTCAGTTAAGCAACAGTAATGTTGTACAAATCCAGGCCAGGCAACTCAGCTAGGGAAGCAACAAAGAAAGGTTTGGGAAGGGCATTCACTCAGCTAAACTGTTTTCATTATTTGAAGTTGGAACCCATAAAATCCTAATAATTCTTCACATGACACCTTCTTAAACGTTCAGGCTGATATCAACCCTACATTAAAAAGTAGTAGGACTGTGTGACTTCATTTTTGATTAGCTAACATAGTGCCATACTGGAGGACAGCACATTGACTGTCAAAAGTTGGTTCTGCTATGGGGCCTATATGACCCTTGTTTTAGAGCATAATTTCTACAGTACCTGGCCAGGTACAAGTCTGAGGTTGGGCCTTAGTTACAAGGAACCAAGTGGACCCTTGAAGACTAAAGTTAAGAAAGCAGAGCACACCTGGAGCACTTAGTGATCATTCTGCTTAATCAACTTACTGTTGATTAAAAAAAAACAAACAAAACGTAATTATAATGAGAAGACTTAGAATTCATAGTTACCCAATGTCTTTGGCTACCTATCCTCTAACACTCTCTGCTTTCCTGTGTAAAATGCACAGTTACACAGTACACACAGAAATAACTGAATAAACTCAAGTAAAGCTGGTGTGTTTTATAGCACTGTATATAGCATTAGGACTCTTTAGGCTGTTGGGTCTGCACACCTTTGGGGAGTGAGCTTGTTCTGCACTCCTCACTACAGTAGGCATTATGTTTCACTGTGCTTCTTGTCATTCACCTGACATTGACAGGAGGAAGGCAGAAGATAATTACTCCAATACAGACAGAAATCTAGAAAGTAAATGAACTAAAAAGTCCTTTTTAGTGAATCTGTGTCTTTATCTCCAGAGAAAATGGGTGGATATATATGTAGTGCATAAAAATGGAGATACTGTCCATTTGGATGCTACACTGGAGCCTCTATGGAGCCTCCAGGTGGCTTGGAACGAATAGCCCAGGCCTTTGTAAAGGCAGATGACACTGAATTTTGAGCTGAGAAAGCAAGGCTTTGTGTCATAAAGAGACACCCTGTCCACGGAGGAACAAACACACACACACACACACACACACACACACACACACACACACACACACACACACATTCCTTTTCCCCTGAGAGTTCAGCCATGCACAGTTTGGTGATAAGAGAGCTTGTGACAGCATGTGTGCAGGACGTGTCTGTGTGTTCGCGATTCTGTGTAAAGCAGCTTTGTTTATTTGCTTTGTGAGAGTTAAATTCTGAATTGTTCATGTTTTGTCCCTTTGACAAAAAAGAGAGGATTTCTCTGCGCATTGTTGAGCGTTTTCATATGCGCGTATGTGTGCGCATATGTTTGTCGCAGCTGTGTGTGTTAAGCTATAAACACGTCCACTCATGATTCACTCCCTCACGACCCTGCTGAGACTAAGCTCTCTTTTCCCATGACTTTGCAACCTTTTCCCAAACAAGCATCTCTCCATTGAACGGGCCCAACAATAGTTTCTCACAAGCAGGGGCAGCTGTAGGCAGCCTTGTTAAGAGACGGACACAAGCAACAGGGGCTCATCACAGGGGCACAAAACACACACATTCACATACTGTATAAACATAGGAAATATATGCCTTCACTGGCCCATATACACACACACATTGCAAGCAGTCACAGAGAGCACTGCACACTCGCCTGATGATCAAACATACAGTCATCATCAAAGACTTGGTCGAGAAATATGCCGCTTAATCATTCATGAAGAGATTGTCCACGCAATCCCACAATACAATGGCCTGCCAAAGAGAGGGCACCAGGTTCAGTGTGTTGGTGTGTATGTCCGTGTTTTGTGTCTGTATGATAAGCCCTTTGTGATTACATTGCCCATAACAAGGCTGAGTTCAGCTGTCTCTTCATGTGTCTGTTTGTGTGTGTTTCTATGTCCTTGGCTTTGTTAGGCCCAAACCCCCAAAGGCCTGTGAAGAATGCTTTCAACTATCCACTTGAAGAGGTGATAAAATGAAACAAATAATCAAGCTCATGAAAAAGAGCAGAGTGACACACATCCCTCATAAAAGTAGGACAAATTATTTATTGTCCTTTTGTCCAATTTCCTTTTTTTCTCACACTGAAACACAAATCAAGCTAACAGTGTGGATTAGCATTGACTGTTTAAGCCAGCAGCACTCGCCAAACGTGGCATGAGGCGACAAACAAGCAAGTTCATTTGCAGAGGCAGACATAACAGCAGCACAAGCCGACATAGTATGAAAAGCTCACACAGGCATGCAGCATTCATTGGTGTTCAGAAGCCACTAATTGATTCTACCTTAAATTATCTATGAATTAACATCAGTTACACACACATCCACATTGTTTTACTTTTTTTTGTAAGATTTGATGGTTCTTTCCTCAATCTGTTCTTTAGTCCAAGTCTTTAGTGAAGTTAAACAAAAGTGAACCTTAACCTCTATCCTGATTAAACCACTAATCTTAACCCTAAATACAAGTCCTGACCCTAAATTATCCTTAACCTATTCCAAATTTTAATCGTAAACCTAAACTCAAATCCTGACCCTGAACCTATCCCCCAGGGGAAGTGAGGATCAAGAAAAATGACCCTCACTTTGTCAAACTTTGTGTTGAGTCCAAGGGTATAACACAACGTGCTGCAGCAAGAATTAGAAAACAAGTATGTGTCCACATAAAGACACATGGACACACATACACACACAAGCACACACTCCTACCCCCTGCTGGGGACCTTCTTGTTAAGCTTGAAGGGCTGAGCAAATTTCCTCAAACTTCCCTTTGCATTCCCTTTCGTCTTTCCTTATTCCAATTAAACGACTTGTCTCTGAGGCACCCTCCGGTGTTGCCGGGGACAACTGTTGCTGCCATGCTGGGAAGCACGACAGGGATGAAAGGAGCTCACCTGCCGAGCGACTCAGGGCTTACCTTGAGAATATGCACACATTTACATAGAATAACAGCAAGACATGCACACAATCTATGCTGAAACATAGGGGTGAGGGGAAAAGAGTGTGTTCTGCCTAATGAATCAAAACTCACTTAACCAGAACACACACACTGTCAAGTGTGTCTGTAGCACTGTCTCTGTGCGCTGTCTTTCATCTCATCAAGTACCAACATTGCTGTAGGTGGGGGACACTACAGCAGACAGAGAATAAAAAAGAAGTAAAGCCACTTGATGCTTGGACTGGTTTAACAGAGGCCAGACGCATCAGAGACAGCAGTTATCTACATTGGTAACTCAATCACAAAGATACACACATACTAATACTTGAAGCAGTCACATGCACAGCCTATGTCCCTGTTCTGTGGTAAAGAGAGGGGGAAAAAAGCAAAAACACTAAAATGTCTGATTTTCATTCATTTTCCACACACAGATAGATAATAGACTACATACGTACATGCACCTACAATACACCAGCACCTCTGTACTCTGTGCATAGGAACAACTAACCCAATTGCCTGTGTAATTGTTTAATCACCCCCATTATACCGTAACTAGTGTAATTTGTTTTCCTTTCGCACTGTATTGTAGGTGTCAATGTACGCATACAATCTCACACACACTCATAAACTGGACCACAACCAACCATCCATTCCCACTGAAACCCAACCTGTCTAATGTAGCCTACTCACACAAAGACATACTGTACCTGTGTGTGTGTGTGTGTGTGTGTGTGTGTGTGTGTGCATCCTAGCCACTGCAACATGAACCACAGCAGGCTGGCCTCTAATAGTCCCTGTCCATAGATAGCTAATGGACAAATATTAAAAGCCAGCTAACCCCCACCCCCCACCCCCTTTCTCCAAATTAATTATTTGTTCTATCCCCTCTTCAGCAATAGGTCACCCAGGTCTTGCATTAATTGCCGGAGCATATGGTCGCCAACAGATTTTAGCTGTGGGACTCGCACTTTAGCGGGGGCTATTTTTTCGCATGCTCAGATGCGAGCCATATTGTGTGGCGCTGGCAGCTATTGTTCGGCGCATTAACTTCATAGAGCTAATTACTCCCCAATAATAACTTTACCTTGGAGTTTTTAGCGCGCTGCGTGCCAACCAACCTGTTTCGCACTCCATATGTTAATTAGCGGCCACATCTTCATTATGCCGCAGCAGCGCTTTAAGTTCAAGCTGTGCCGCCTGGCGCGTGGTGAACGCAGCCTCCACTCGCTGCCAATTATCCAACTCTTGCTCCCTCTCCATCTCTCTTTCTCTCACTCTTTCTCCCTCTCTTGTTCATTCTGGTCTCTCTATTTGCCATTTGTTTCATGAGAAGTTCTCTCACCAGAGTGAACTGTTGACTTCTTTGCCCCATGAAAGTTCTCAAGAAAACGTTTTTTCACTTTTTCTTCATGAAACTGATTTTTTTCCATTAAGAGAATTTTTCCTTGTTTTGCCTTGAATTTTTGTTGATTGGAGGGTTTTGTTTGTTTGTTTGTTTTTTTCAGTTTCCAGATGAATTTCAGTTAAGTTTGTTTTAGATTTCTTTTTTGGATATAGAGGATGGGTTTGCAGATAAAAAAAAGAGCCCCTTTATCTTCCATGTCAGCAGGAGTGTGATGTTTTGTCTGTCTGGTGTAGGTTTTATGTTCACTTCGGGCCTGATGTGAAAGAGAAGCTGAGAAGTGTCTTATTCCCCAAAGTGCCTTTTCCTTCATGTGAGATCTGGAGACAGTCTGATAGATCTGGCCTCATACTTGCTTTCCCTTTCTCACCCTCACTTTCTCTTGTAGACTTTTCTTTTCCTTCTGTCAAGTATTCTCTCCCTCTCTATTCCTTCTCCTGCTTTCAAAGTTTACATTATGACCTAACACACAGAACTCATAATCCACTTTACCGCGTTATTGTTTAACCAATATTACGAAGAGATGCCAGATTAAGCCGTGCCGTTGATGGTAAAAGAATATAAATAGGAATGAATAATGATTAGTAAGACAGATGCATTCCATTATCATGTGATGAGCCCAGTCATTGACACCCCCACCCACCCTCCACTCACACCTCCACAGTTTTTGTTGAGTCCCTTGTTTCTCCCCGTTATGCTCAGTTTGCTCTGACCCATGTTTTCTGCCTCATGTGTGTGTTACCATTTGGAGTGGTGTGTGTGTGTGTGTGTGTGTGTGTGTGTGTGTGTGTGTGTGTGTGTGTGTGTGTGTGTGTGTGTGTGCGCGCGTGCGTGCCAGTGAGCATCCTAGGCCAGTGGTGCTACATGTTAGCTCAGCAGCTGCTACACACATATCCAACTCAGCTACTACAGCAACATATGGGGGAATGAATCCCCATGAACCCTTTTCTGTCTCACTTTCTCTCTGTATGCTTGCATTTTTTAAAACATTTTTTACTTATTTTTTTGTCTTTTGTTGCTTGATCTCTGTATCCTATAGATACTTGCATGTACTTTACAATAGTTCTGTAGGCTGATTAATGTCTTCCTATTGCGCGCATGCTTTTTGTTACAATAAAGAAAGAGAGGCAGATGAGAAGAGGAGAAGACCGGGGTGCTATTAAAGATCTATGATATTTTCTTTTGCAAAGAAGGAAAACAAAGTCACATACACACACAAAGACACCATACAGTATAGGTGCTGTGTGTATATGTATGTATTACAGTGGCCACCGACTCCTCTCCTCTCCTCTCCTTGCTAGCCAGCTCCACTCCAGCATATGTCCAATTAGGCCTGAAAGGCACAGCGGAAATGTTCTGTCTGTGATTCGTCCCCGCGGGGGTGCTGTCCGCGCGTTGTGCTGAAATGCATTTCCCTTCTGATCATGCAGTGTAGGCGGTGTGGCGGTTTATGGTTAACCAAAATGGTGGAGTAATTATTGTTTTTGGTGTAAGGGGGAAAAGGGAGTTCCTTGAAGAGAGCACTATTCCCCTGCGCTGTGATAGTTTGATTATAGTGCTGCTGGCTGCCTCATGCCAACACACAAAAGCAGGAGGAGGGGGATGCGGAGGAGAACCACACAGAAACACACACACACACACACACACACACACACACACATATATAGGTATTTACAGTACATGAGCACACATACACCCAGGGAAACTTGAGTATACACACACAGGCAGTGAAAGATGGGAGCTCTGTCAGTAATGTGTGGCAGCAGCTCTCTGTCTCTCTTCTACCTGTCTCAAGCACAAACCACTTCAAGTGTCCATATCACTCAGATATTACCTAATTGTTCTGTGGAACCACTGCGGTCTTATGATTGCGGAGCCATTTCCAGATCAGACAGCTTTTACCTGCCCATTATCCTGTTCAGCTGTTACCTCTCTGGCCTCCCAGCAAAGTAAGAGAAACAGAAGAACAGAAAGAGAGGAGATGCATTTTAAGAGGGAACAAAGTGCTGTGCAACCAGGAGTATTGTTCTAAGACCTAAAGACTCTACTGGATATTTTAATTAAAGGAACAGTTCACCAGTTTTATACACCAGGTTTTGTTTGCATGTCATGAGGTCAGCCTGTGAAAATTGTTGCATCTTTTGTGGCTCTGTAGGAAATTTCTAAAGTCTGTTTTCAAAAGGTTTTAGTAATTTAACTGAGGTGTAAGTCATTGTATCAATAAAGATAAGTACAGAAGTGATGAAGAAGATTTGTTAAATAAGTGAATATGTTGCAGAACCTGCCTATTCTGCTTCTGATTTTATTTCAGTACAGTGTAGGCGCAGCATTGTTGTACTGTTGCCATGCCCAAAGATTTTATAGCAAAACCCGGTGCCCAAAGAAAACACCACATTGTATTTTTCAGCAAAATTAAGTCAATAAAACTTCAACGGAATGATGTACTGTATCTATAGAGTTACTGGGGCTCCACTTATTTATGGAAACACACTGACATTTTTCTTTGACTTTATGGAAAATTTCTTAAAAATGTGTACTGAATTTGGCTTGAGCTCCTTCCCTCTCTTCATGTTTTTGGTGCCTTCTACATTGTACCAGCATTACACCTCAGTTTTACAGCTTGATAAGATCCCTTATTTTCCTCGTGCTCTCGCCGTCCTCCATTCTCCCTCTCCTCATTTCCTCTCCTCATCTTGTCCTATCTTTCCTCTCAAACTGTCAGTCAGTCCATCACACGCAAATCTTTGTGTGTTGTTTTTGGCAGAACGCTGTTTAGTGCAACCATCTGTCTCCTACTTCTTTCTCTTTCTGTCTCCTCTCTCTCCTCTTTTTCCTGCCAAAGCCACCCATCAGAGGAGCTTTTTTTCTGTCTCCTTTTAAAATCCTGGAAACCTTGTGAAGTCGTATGGCTCTCTGCCGACGGACGTGCAGGTTGTGTCTCTGCGTTTGTGTCTGTGTGTTCAGGCTGTTGGGGGCTGATGTGGATAGAAGAGAGAGAACATCATCATCCAAATGAAGGAAAAAGGGCAGCAGTTGTGAAAGTCCAGTGTCGTGTCATGATGACTCGCTTTTTGACTTTGAATTGGGAAGATGGAGTGTGTGGTGTCATTTGTGGCTTTGTAAACCAGAGGTGGGAAGTAACAAAGTACATATACTTTGTTACTGTACTTAAGTAGATTTTTCAAAAATCTTTACTCTACCTGGGTGTTTATTTTTCTGACAACATTTTACTTTTACTCCCCACATTTTAACTAAATTATCCATACTTTCCACTCCTTCCATTTTCAAATCAGGCTCATTACTTTTAGTTTTAATACATTTGAGGGGAATTATTGATTATTTTTATTTTGCACTTACTGCAAAATATGCACACTACTGCACTGGGTCATATAGTCCTTATTTATAGCCTGTTAGCTTCTCAGAGATCTCATGCGTGCACAGTTAAGTCTTGCTTTGCTTCAGACCTTAGATGTTTGCTTCAGACTGTAAGAAGTTATGGTTAGTCAGCTTCTGGGGCAACATGTACATTGGTCTGGTGTTTCATAATAAAGAAACATGTCACCCAGTGCACCGGTGTGTTTCACGGATGTGTTTTTAATCATTTTTGAACAACAGAGGTCTATGTCACAGACAAATAATATAAACCAGGTTTGGGACTGACAGACATTAACTGAGTTTACATCAGTACTTCTACTTTTACCAAAGTATTGTTTACACAATATTTGTACTTCTGCTTGAACAACAAATGTGTGTACTTTTGCCATCTTTGTTGTAAACTGATGTCACATGTGTAGTCTGTGTATTATATGATTATACTGTAGGTATATGAGCCTAAATGCACATGATTCTGAGAAATGATTATGATGTAATTCAGATGTAATCATAACTGTCTTCAGAATGGTACTTAAGGTTGTTCTGAGATCAGTTACATGCACAGCACTGGAAGGTCAAAGAGATGCCGAAGTGGCTCATGTTTTCTCCTCCTTTCCCTTTTTTCTCCCTCTTCCTGCACTTTCTTTCCACTTGCCATTTATCCCTTGTATCTTCTCATGCCCATTTCTCCCTTTCTCCTTCACCCCACTCCCCATCCCTCCCTACCTCCTTCATCAGCAGGTCCAGGGCCAACTCCCTCCACTGATGATTCCCGTCTTCCCCCCAGACCAGAGGACTCTGGCAGCGGCTGCAGCCCAGCAAGGCTTCCTCATGCCCCCTGGCTTCAACTACAAGCCTGGCTGCAGTGAGTGACATTCACACATGCACACACATCTTCTTCAGAAAAATTCAACAAACTACATTGTGAGGACCATCTCCGGTCCCCGCCAAGATGGTAACTCATGGATTTCGGGCGGCACAAGTATAGAAAAACAAGGCCAAATGCACACACACATTCATAATTTAGTCAGCTGCAAAATAACATAGTAAAAGTAGCTTTTATTTGTAATGGTTCAAATGTTTTTCATCAAGCAAGGTAGCATGTGGCCATATTCCCACACAAGGAGTTGGATTGTTTGTTCGCCCCTACAACAACATCTCTCTCTTAATAGAAAAACCAGTCCAAATACACCCTTCCTGTTTACACTCTCAATCTCTCTCTCTTTATCTGTCTCTCCCACTCTTGCTTAGTCCTTTTGGCTCCATCCTTTTGTCTTGTCTATTTTTTGATGTATAAAAGCAACAAAATATAGGCATCCTACAGGACGTTTTTTTTTTTTTTTTGGCTGTCACACTCCGGCTGTGTGGCAATGTGTTGTTTACCATGATAGAGAGAGAAAGACAGAGAGAGAGAAAGAAAGAGAGAGGGAGAGAGAGAAAGAGGGGTCGGTGCTTGCCAGGGGATGCTGAGAATAAATGCACAGTAGGGGGTGTTAGCAGAGGGAGGAGCTGGAGGGTGGTAATGTGACCTGCCCCAGGTTCTCCTCACATTAACAGGGGATGCAGCCAGAACATGTTTCCAACACACCCCACACACTAACACACACACACACACACACACACACACACACACACAAATGCTGAGGCAGCCAGAGATTGCTTTGTGATTTTGCAAGCACATACACAACAAAATCCTAAATAGACAAAGCTATGTAAGTGTGCACACAAATGCAAGTTCGTGCACACTCAGTCCCACTCCCCCCACTCCCTTAGAGTTTCACAGCTTCCCAAACAAGTCCATTCCATTTTAATTAGTGCCATCTTCACCCACACCCACTGCCCACCTAAATACCCTGTCAAGTGGTGGGCTTGTCTTTTCACTGCCTCCGCCAACTCCAACCGGACTGGCATGCTGCGCCAGGCTAAGGCGCCCCTGAGAAAACTCTTTGGCAATTTTCAAAGTTGTTGTGAGTTGATGTAGTTTGGTGCTGCAGCTTTAAATAGGACGTGTAGCATTGTGCTCTGACATATTCTCACTGCGCTTCATAACTCTCTCAAGATATAAATTGATTTTATCTGCACAGCATGGACTTCTACGCACAGAGTGGCTGTCTTGTTTAAACACTTGTTGAACAGAAAATGAATTTTTCTATTGTTCGAGCTTCCGACACAACATGGAAGAAAACTGGTAAACCTTTTGCAGGACTTTCTGATGACATTGGCAGCGTTATTTTCTCAGATTTTAGAAAGATTCCTTCAACATTACATTATGCAAATGCTTTTAGGCTTGGTAGTACTTCTTATGATGAATAAACTAGACTAATGACATTTGCATCTCGCTTCCCTTGATCTACCTCCCTCTTTCACCTGTTTGTCAGTGAAACATTTCTGTGCCGTCTGTTGAGGTCTCTGTCCCAAAGCCAAGAGCAACATGTTTGCTTTCCTCTGTCCTTCTCCCTTTTGTTACAGCGACCCCCAGGAGGAGCATAAATATCAGCTCAGCTTATGTTTGTCTAGGGAGCACAGAGAAAAGACCCATCTCCTAGAATACACAGTCCTGAAATAATTCTTTGATCCCTCCTGCCCTCTTTCTCCACTGGATAAAAGAATGTCTTTGCTTTTTTTTTTTTTATTTTTTATTACCAAACTATATGGGAAAGTATGCCAGAAGGAAAGTCTGGCTTTTGCCAAGCAGACACGCTAACATGGGCGCACACACACACACAAACAATAGAGGGTCCTGATACAAGAGGCTGACCACTATGCTGAAAGTCCAGGTCAGAAATACAAGGTCAAGCCCTTAGAACATTCCTAAGTTTTCTCCCTGAAGAATGATGTTTTCTCAATGTGATACCAGTATAAAAGCCTGACCTCCTCCATGTACTGTACTTTGATTAGTAGACATGTCCAAATGCAAAATTGTGTAGTAAACAGGCATGTTTTGTTCAATATGACCACAATTAAGGGCAGTATATCTCTTTTCCTCTTCCCTCCCTTACACTCCATCTCCTCATCCCTTCATCTCTGACCTTTCTCTCTCTCGGAGTAATTACAGCACAGGCTATCTGCACCTGGTCACTAATAATCCGCACTTATCCTTTTCTTCCCAGCTTTCTCTGTCTCCTTATTCCTACACATCTGTCATCTCCTCTGCCCTGTCCATCTATCTATCTCTTGATTTATTGTTCCTGACAGAATGGGAGAGAAGGACAAGGAAGAGTAAGTTGTCAAGAGAGAAACATGACAACAAGAAGGACACAAGGAGAAGGAAAGTAGAAGATGGGCAAGAAAGAATACTGAGATCAGCCCTCTGGCAATCATCACTGGCAGCTCTTAATTACTGCGCTGGAGTCGGCTTTATCAGAATCCCCTCACCTCACTGCTCTTTGTCAAGGGGTATTAAAGAGGAGGACACACAATCAGGCTTTTCATTAAGGCCTTACCAGCAGTGCACAAAGGATGGCTTTAACAGCTGCAGAGAGGGACTCAGGTGATGGTGGTGGAAGGGGGGTTGATGAGAAGAGGACAAGCAAAGGATGAAGGTGGAATGAGAGGCAGGAAAAAAGAAAAATAAGATGAAGAGAAAGGGAGGGGAGGAAGAGAGAGATGAAGGATGAGGGAGAGGAAGGAGAGACAGGGACATGGATGGAGTAAAGGGATGTTATGGGAAGAAAAGAGGGTGATAGGAAAAAAGGAAAATGGGAGAAAAGAGAGGCTGAAGAGCCAGAAGGGGACACTGATGTATAAAAGTGCACTAAAACAATCATTGATTTTGATTCAATGTTAGACATGAAAATACTAAAGGAAATGTGATTTCTGGTTTTCCTCAGGTGACCCCTACCCTCTTCAGCTCATCCCAACAACAATGGCTGCTGCTGCAGCTGCTACACCAGGCCTGGGACCTCTGCAGCTCCAGGTGAGACTATACCAAAAGAAAAAAAAAAAACAACAACATAAAATTACAATCACAACCAAAGTTTTGAAGAAAAAACATATTATATTTCTTTTTCACTTGTGTGGTTACATTGGGAATAATTTCCCTTCACCCTGTGTTTCATGCCACACGCTATTTCCCACGGAGCTACATAAGACCATAAACACAGCCATGGGGGGAATGCACAGCTGTCACTTTCAGCCAAAGTGTGGACAGTGAAGTAATCCCATAAACACATAATGGTGATGATCAAATCTCAAAAATCAAAATGAGCTGACAAGTGTAACCCTAGCCCTTAGCTCTGGCCTGCAACAAGAAGTAAATGGGGTTGAAGCAGTTCTCTAATGATGTTGAAGCAGAAGTCAGTATGTAGAACAGAGGGTAGGAATATTCTGATTGACTGTCAGAGCTCATGTGTGGTGATGCTGAAGAGGTTTCAATCTCTCTAACAGCATTGAGGCATTTTGAAATGTAATTTAACTGTTAGGTTACCATCATGATCAGAATGATCATTACATTTTGTCTCATCTCTTCACAAGTGCATGAAATCACCAAGAAGGAAAATATTGCAGACATTCCCTACCATTAACTACTAAGTACAAAAATAAAATTTTAAAAATGCTATTCATTGTCATGGATTACATACAGTATGTCAAGCAAATTGCATGCCTCTAAAGCATGTTTTTCTTTACATACTGATATTAATTGAGACAAGGAGGTAAGCATTTGTCAAGACAACTGTATTCTCACAAAAAAGTGACTAGCACTTGGTATCTTTAATATGAACCCCATGTGCTAATATGTCCAGCTGAAACACATCATAAATCACAAATTAAACTGTCCAATCAGTAATAAAATGTTACTTGAATTTTAAAACAGTCCCATTTAGTTTCATTAGGAGTAGCTAAAAACTGAGGAACAACGCAAGTCAAGGAAAGAGCCAAACTTATTTTCTTTATTTATAAAAAGAGCTGACACTGACTTACGGTTGTGGTGGTGTTTTAATTGTAAATGTTTATGTAGAGGAATTTAAGAGCATCCAAACTCCAATACATTTTTCAGCTGTTTTGTCTATTATATACCAAATGTATGAAATTTTAACTTAAGCTTTGTGATGATTCCACTGAAAGAGGGACGATCTGACTGGAAGGTGTTTGGCAGTTTTGAGTCATCAAAATGAAGGAGTCAGCCCATATGTACATGTACTCATAAGTTCGATAAAGTGGTCCGCTATGTGTTCTGCTGCCATAAATCTGGAGGCAGAGAAGGAAGAATCTACTGAGAAAGATAGAGAGAAATAGACAAACCCATTGAGAGTTAAAAAAAATAGTCAGCATCTGTTATCCCACTTACAAGGGGGATGAGTCTGACTTTGGTCCTTTCCTGTCTGCATATTTAAAGAAAGTGACCTATCACTTGGTAATCCTGACCTTGAGAAGCCCCCCAAACCACTGATCATACAGTCACTCCCACCATCCAATCTAGCCCCCTGACACCCACACATGACAAGACCGCACATACGTCTACTGAGATTCACATGGGTTTCATGGCCCCCTCTCCCAGGGGTTAATAGCCTCCACGGGTGTCTTTTGAGTTGCCTGTCTGAAACACATTAGCCTCTGGTGTTTATCTCACCCTTTGGTACACACTGCACTTGGCCCCCACTCTCTCCTTGACAAGCATTATCATAAAATATGACACATATGCACATATATTTATATCTGAAAGAAAGTGCTACATTAATGCACATATTTTCCTGTACATCTTTTTTACTGGCTGCTCACACACAGGATTATAGAAAAATATGGGTTAAAGGTTAGGCACAGTGCATGTAGTACATTTGCACCTACCAGCCAAACATGCTGCCCCATATGCTACACACTAAAGGGAAAATAGAATAACCGTATAATTCTATCATGGATTACCAACACCGCTGTCCTCACTGATTTCATTATTACTTGTGTGTGTGTGTATATGTGTTTGCCATGACAATAATGTCCTCTGTGCTGTTATTAGCACTTCAATCTAGCCGTCCATATGTTTGACTGTGTTCAGACTCACTCATAATCTCCGGTTGAACAGCTTTGTTCACCTTGCAATTGAATGTTTCTTAACCTAACAGGGAGGGGCAAGAGGACACAACATGTGCAACAAAAACATTTCACTAGCAGATTTCTTTCTTACCATCATCCCAGAAAAAATACATATTACGCTCACACACACAAATACACAGTCACAAATTGAGATTAAGGCTTTGTCAGAATGAAACGTATTTGCCAAGGCTAACACAAGTACAGATGTCTCAATGTGGATGGATTTCCTTTGGGATTGTCTCGGTGCCCTCAGAGGCAAGACATGACACTTAGCTTGGGCCTTGGGTCACCACAGCAACACAGCAGTTAGGAAAAGAGGACACAAGTGATCCCACTTAGCTGAGACACACAACTAGAGATACAAAATTTTTTTTTTTTAGACACAAAACACAGTAAACTTTCCTCTTGCACTGAAAAGTCCATGAAAATATGCTGATTGATTTTTAACACATGGACATGTAAATTACACACATAGCCGGAAAATTAGTGGTTCGATTCACGGCTTGTACAGTCATAGAAGTGTCCTTGAGCAAGACACTGAACCCCCAGTTTCTCCCAGTGATGTCACTGGTGTGTGAATGTGTGAGTGCTTGGGAGTGCAAATGGGTGAATGGCCAAATAATGTGAAAGTGCTTTGAGTGTGCTGCAATGCATAGAACAGCATGATACAAGTATAAGACCATTTATCATGTTTGGCACAAATGTTTTCCTAATGTACAGTATGTGATGCAGTTTGTAGTGTAGATTCATATATTACTGATTTCTGCACTTAGTAGGTATTGAAAAGTTTTATAATTCCCAAATGGGTCCAAGTCATGACCATTGGTACCTCAGTACTTTAACAGCTTTCAATAGACTGACTCACTTGGGAAACCAGTTCAATATTACTGCACTAATATTGTAAACTCACGCTGTATGCACACACCTGCTGAAGCACTACAACATTAAAGATACACAAGTCTAAAGTACACATCAAGATCCAAAACCACTTCATCCATCCACTATCTACCACTTATCCATGGGTTATGAGAGCAGTGGGTTCTGTAAGGGTGTTCAGATGTGTCTAAAGGTTCTCCAACTCCTCAGGACACCCAGGCTTTCCCAGGTGAGATGAGATATATTAATCCCTTCAGTGTGTTCTGGGACTGGGTGTCCTACCAGTTGAATGTGCCTGGACAATCTCCAGTGGCAGGCACTTAGGAGACATCTTAAACAGATGCCTGAACCACCTCAAATGGCTCTTTGCAACATGAAGGAGCAGCAGCTTCTTAACATAAAACGTAGAGCTCCTTCCATATGTCAGAACTCTGCACTTCATGTCTAAGGCTGAGTCCAGCTACCCTAAAGAGTAAACTCATTTCAGCTGCCTGTATTTGTGATTTTCTGTCACTACCTAAAACTTGTGACCACAGGTGAAAGTTGGAACATTGATTGACAGGTATATTGACGGTTGTGCCTTCTTGCTGCTGATGATGATGCACTGTGGAGATGTATTTAAGATGTTTATGAGCACAGTTCGCCAGAAATGGAGTTTTTATTGCTGAAATGCCGGCCCTATTATCTAGCAAGAGCGCATAGTGCTGTGTTTCTGGCAGCCCAAGAGCCAATCCCTCGGTGGCTCTCAGCAAACTCACGACGTCATCAACGCGCTAGAGACAGCTCACCCTGATGCTGTTTTTATCATCGCAGGCAACTTTAACTAGTGCAATCTATGGACTGTACTTCCCAAATATTACCAACATGTGAGCATTCCCACCCGGTGCAAGAACACTCTGGATCATGTTTACAGTAACATACAGGGTGCATACAGGCCTGCACCCCGCCCCAACCTTGGACACTTGGACCACATTTCTTTGTTCCTGTATCCATCTTACAGACAAAGACCGGAACAAACAAAACCTGTCACCAAACAAATTAAACTCTGGACCCCAGAGACTGAGGGCACCCTGCAGGACTGTTTTGCCGACAGACTGGGATGTGTTTAAAGCTGCAGCCACCTCAGAGGACTTTTCTGTCAGCGTACAGGATTATGCTGAGTATGTGACCAGGTACATTAGTACCTGTACTGACAACATCGTGCCCACCATACAAGTCAGGAGGTTTCCCAACCAGAAGCCCTGGATAAACAGTCAGTATGCCACATGCTGTGTGCTCGCTCTCATGCATTCAAATCAGGCAACGAGACGGAGTACAAAGCTGCGAAGTACGGACTGAGGAAAGCCATCATAGTGGCCAAGAGGCAGTACAGAGAGAAGCTGAATGGCTTCTATTCTACTGCTGACTCTGGATGGATGTGGCAAGGCCTGCAGCACATCACAGACTACAGGACCACCACCAGCATGATCAGCCCCACAGCCAGCCTGCCGGATGACCTCAACACCTTCTACACCTGCTTTGAGAGCTCCAGCTACGGCATAGAGACGAAGCACGCACACACCTGTCGTACCAGTCATATACTCGACACCCTGTTCATCCACGACTGTGTTGCCTCCCACAAGGATAACATCATCCTAAAGTTCGTGGGTGACACCGCAGTGATAAGTCGCATCACTGGTGGGGGTGAAACAGCCTACATGAGAAAGGTGGCCGCTCTGGTGTCATAGTGCGAGGACAACAATCTCACCCTCTACATGGACAACACAAAGGAGATGATAGTGGACATGAGGAAGGAGGAAAACTCATTGGCCACTCTTCATCCAGGGGCTCGAAGTGGAGAGGGTGAGCAGCTTCAAGTACCTGGGCGTCCACATCAGTGAGGACCTCACTTGGACACTCAACACCACACAGCTGGTTAAGAAGGCCCAACAGTGGCTGTACTTCCTGAGGAGGCTGAGGAGGTTTGGCATGTCGCCTAGGATCCTCAGCAACTTCTACAGCTGAATTGTCGAG